GCGGGGCCGTCCTAGTGTGCGTTTTTGTCTCATATAATTTATTCACATATTTCATTGATGGTTCAAGGTTTGCCCCAAATTTGGCAAAATCTCTTGGATTTGATGAGATGAATGCTGGGTAAGACAATAACAAGTTGAATTTAATTACTTGGTCAAAAGCTAAGGGCCATTGAGGAACAAGTTTTGAAAGCTGCGAAAAATGGATCATTTTCATAGTTGAAGTGAAAAATATACCATTGGAAAAATATACTTCCTCAATGTTTCATTTATATAGTCTTTTAATTCCTCGAAGATGGAATGAAGATTTCTACTAAAGATAAGATCTTATTTAGGAATGATTATCATTTTCACATTAACTGTAAAATAATCAAAAAATTTAAAAGCAGGTAATCTGTTACCATTAAGTTTAATATATCATACATAATTAGCAGGTGATTTGTATAGTGGATGCAGTGTGAGTGTGGCATTGATATTTATGTATTTTTTTTTTTTTTTGATAACAGATATTTATGTATTTTATGTCAAGGTCAATGGTGTAGCGAGGGAGAGGCCACGAAAGGCACCGCTTCCTGTCAAATTTATATTTAGTTGTGTTATTTGTATTGTTTTTGGTCATAGTACGAAAAATATTTTTTTATGTTGTAATCTTTCAATTTATGTATAAAATGTTTTTTTTAATAAATGTGAGGTCCACAATTAATTGAGTCACAATATAAAAATTCAATTCTCATACAACATAAGAAAATTAAAGCCCTATAAACAATGATGGCCCACTTTAAATTCTTAAAAATCTTTATTTATGAACACCATTTCTATTTTTTCGTTTATATAAATAGTTTTACAGAAAAATATTTTTGCAGTTAATGCTGATAAGTTATCTGCATTTACTTTCAAAACAACGTCATTTTAAGATTGAAAGATTAAAAAATTATAATTATAAAGACTATAATAACCCTGGAATAAATTAAAATTACAAAAACACCATGATTTCCTATCTAAAATGTCGTCGTATTAGACTTACTCTGCAGTAATTGCTGAAAAAACGAACCCATAAATAAGAAATACTACATTAGGAATTTCATTTCCCTTCACAAATTTTTTTGGCTCCGCCAAAGTTGTGGTGACTAAAATTAATTTGCTACAGAATGATCTTCAAGAGTTCTGAATATGAAAAAGGTTATTTAAACCGCCATGAGTTCCAATTTGATAAGGAATGAGCCAAACGAATTATGAGTATGCTGGATTTGGTAGGTGCACATGGATGTGTAGATTGCTGTTTGTGGGGTTGAACAGCTTTGAAGATATGCAGTGATGTGCTGAGGAGTGAATGCACATTTGAGAAATTGAGTTGAGGAACAATGGCAGCAGTGCCAGCAGAGACAATAATAAAAGTATGTCCACTAGTGAAACAATTTTGGGTCAAGTGGGTAGTCATCAAACAATTGCGATCCAGCACATAGAACCTTCTGGTGGGAGGATTTATAGTTGAATAACACTAACAATTTTAAGGTATGATGAAATAGATTTTCACCCTATTTGATAGTCTCTGATATCAAGGTTTTTTTTTTTTTTTTTTTTTATTGTGGTATTTTGATGGAAATTTTAGTTGTCATCAGGCCCAGCACTGACGGGTGTTGATTTTTTGTCTACAGAAAGATGTGACATGCTTTCCGCCCAAAAGAAGTTTGGATTATTATTTTTAAATTTTAACTTTGTAAAAGTAATTTTAGGCAAAAATGAGATTGAAAGTAAAGCGATTTTGTTTGAACTTTTTTATCTCAAAAATAAATTTGTGGTAAAATCAACGGTTATATGAGAAAAGTTATATTTACTATCATTTTAATATTACTATTCTTATTATCTGATTGGTTACTGTTGGATTAATTTGAAATCAATAGTTAAAAAATAAAAATTAACAGCGAAACGTACATTTAGGAACAAATTTAATTTTAATTAAAGAAAACCAAACATTTATTTTAATCAAATCACATTTCTGATTTGTATACGTGTGTTAAGAGTTATGGAAATGCTTCTCCAAACATGCAGAGACTAGGTTTAAATATACCTTATCCCTTCAACTCATGAGACCCGATTAACAAATGGTTTGTTTTGGCTATTTAGTAAGATGGACTCTTGCCTAGAACTGTTATTAGTGGTTTATTTGGGTACTATGCAACCACAAAATGGGCTTGTCGGATTTTGTGAAGAATCTACTGTAATGAGCCCCTAAAATTAGAAGGAGCGGGTGATTAGCTACTTTATTTTTTATTTTTATTTTTGTAAATAAAGAGGGGCTAAGCCCCGGAAACAGAAAGAAATTACAAATCAGAAACTAACAAGCTAGACATATTTCTAGTATCAGCAACTATAAGTTCCATCAACTGAGGAGGAGGATCTTTAAAAATCTTGAAATGGAGATTATTAGTCTGCCCAGCTTTAGCTAACCAATGAGCACATTTGTTGTTTTTTCTCTTGGTATGAACAAGATGAATAGTCCAATCTGCTTTTAACCATAATCTCAATCTGCTAGTGACTTGAGAGTCCCTAGGATCTTCATGCTGCTCCTTTAACATCTGGATGGCTTGGCTAGAATCACATTCTAGCTCTATTCTTTTTAATCCTGTTCCCCAAAGCAGTTCCAAACCTTTCAGTAATCCCCATAATTCTGCATCAAGAGGATTGCAGGAACCTAAATTACAATAGAAGCTTCCCAAAAAGGATCCATTGTGATCTCTTAATATACCACCACAACTAGCTTTTTTCATGCCACTAGAAGAAGCTCCATCACAATTCAACTTAACCCACCCTTGCTTGGGGGCTGTCCAAACGCTATCGTTGGAATCACCACGGCGCTGATAAATTCGGGCTTGCAGAATCTGTTGGACAAACATCCAAATTGAAGCCTGTGATTGCTCATCATGACAGAAATGATCTTCATGGATCTCCAAATTTCTCCACTTCCACAAAAACCAACAAGTAGTAAAGAAAATATCCCTCCAGTCCTTCACTTTATAGGAGGACCACATGTTATCGATATTTAAAGTCAACCAATCCTGCAAATTCGAATTCATAAAGGAATTGGGTATCGAACCTGTAAACCAAGATTGCCAAATTTTCCTAGCATGTCTACAATCACGAAGAACATGAATAATAGTTTCCTCATGATTTGGACAACTGGGACAGACATTTGAACCTCCGCTCCACTTACTGGTTCTGCTGCGCACTGAAAGTTTAGCAAGCAAAGTCATCCACATAAACACTTTCACTCGTTCTGGTCCATTCCACGACCAAACTTTTTTCCATAAGCTAGTGTGAACATCTGCTGGGAAGTTCATAAGATTACAGTAAGCGACCTTAACCGAAGAAGTTGAGTGATGATTATTGATCCAAACTAATCTATCCTCCCCATTCCTTGGAATAAGCCTGAGATGATTTGTTACTGCATCAGCCAAATCTGACTCCAGAAATTGATGAACAACTTCAAGACGGAAACCATCATCCACCATGTAATCTGCAATTGATTTCTGACTCTCCTCCCACGGCACCTGATTGCTCGACAACTGCTGCAAATTTTCCTCCCATCCCAACCAGTTATCAGTCCAAAGCTTTACTTCAGAACCATCTGCTATTTCCCATCTAAGACCAGCAAGGAAATTACTCCAACATTTAGCAAGATCACGCCAAAGTTTAGAGTCATATGATTTTGCCTTTATACCTCTCCTTAAGTCTTGACCTCTACCATACTTGGCTACTAAAATCTTAACCCATAAATCATCTTTCTTAGTTAACACCTTCCACGCCAGTTTATGAATATAAGCTTCATTTTGGAGTCGAAGGTTAATTATTCCCAAACCACCTCTATCTTTGGGTTTATACATTTGATCCCAAGCTACTAAATGAGCCCGCCTTCTGCTATCCTGATCTCCCCAAATGAAAGCCCTTTGTATCTGCTCAATTTCATCACAAAATGTTACTGGTAAAAGACCATTCTGCATATGGAAAGAAGGGATTGCAGCAATGACCGATTTCACCAAAGTAACTCGACCAGCAAAAGAAAGGCAATGGCTTTTCCAACCATCCAGTTTTGAACGTATCCTATCCTTGATAGCTCCATAGTCTGCTTTATTATATCTCCCTTGTTTAACAATAGAGCCTAAATATCTGCCAATACTAGAAGTGCGCTTAAAGCCCATTCTGTTGACAATCCTTGTAGCAACTTGAGTATCAGTATTGGGGGAAAAATAAATCAAAGATTTATTTGCACTAACACTTTGCCCCGACATCTCACAAAAGAGATTAATACAATCCATAATCACCTTAGCTTGCTCCATATCTGCTTCCGCAAAGAGAATGATATCATCTGCAAATAAAAGGTGGGATACACTCGGCCCTCTTCTGCAGACTCTAATAGGCTTCCACGAACCCATAGTCACTTTTTCAGCGATCAAGTGGGAAAGCTTCTCAACACACAACACAAAAATATAAGGAGATATTGGATCCCCTTGACGAATTCCTCTCTGAGGAACTATGCAATCCGAAGCCACACCATTTATCAAGACCCTCGAACGATTAGAAGTTATAGAAGCCATTATAACACCAATCATCCAATCAGGAAACTGAACTTCAATAAGCACTTTATAGATAAAACTCCAACTGAGTTTATCATAAGCTTTTTCAAGGTCCAGTTTGATTGCCATTGTACCTTTCTTTCCTTTTACTCTCCCCATAGAATGAACCAGCTCCTTTGCTACTATAATATTATCCTGAAGCTGACGATTTGGCACGAAGCTAGCTTGGTAAGGAGAAACTAAATTCTCCATTGTAAGCTTAAGCCTATCCACAATGATCTTGCTCATACCCTTATAAATGACATTACACAAACAAATAGGCCTGAATTGAGAAACATACATTGGCTAAGGAACTTTGGGGATCAAAGTGATCAGAGTACCGTTGACTTCCTCAATGCTGGAAGGGTTTTCTGCATAATACTTGATATCTCTCTAAATCTGTTCACCAATAAATTCCCAGTTCTTTTTGTAGAATGTCGCGGTATAGCCATCCTCCCCTGGAGCTTTCGAATCTTTCATAGAAAAGAAAGCTCGTCTGACTTCATCTTTTGAAATTGGAGCACCTAAGTTAACAGCAGTCTCATCGCCCACCTTTGGCCAAAGAGTCTGGACCCAAGGACGATCATGGTTTTCTTCAGAAAATAGTTTAGAGAAGTAAGCATTTATTACCCGTGCAATGTTGTGATCTTCTCTAATCAAGTTTCCAGCATCATCTTTCAACTCCAAGATCTTGCTCCTTCTACGTCTAACAATTGTTTTCGTATGATAGTACTTTGTATTCCTATCTCCTTGAGCTATCCAAGTAGCACGAGACTTTTCAAACCACAAAAGTTCCTCCTGTTCTAAAACTTGTTCAAGTTCACCCCTTATCTTGCCTTCAATCTTTTCCAAATGGCTTTTATTCTGCTCAGAAATTGCCCTCTGGATACCTTCAAGCCTACCAATCAACCTGTTCTTCTTATGATGGATATTACCAAACACATCTTTATTCCACTGCTTAATAAGAGGAGTGAAATCACGAAGACTATCAACTGTTCTTTGATCCTGACGCCAGTTTTCCTTGATGAAATTGTTAAAAATTGATGATCCAACCAAAAAGAATGAAAACGGAAAGGGCGTTCCACCCCATCAACTTTGCTTGGCTCTAAGGTAATAAGGATAGGATTATGGTCACTGTTAATACGAGGAAGCACTTGAACCTGGCCTTCATGAAACATCAACCTCCATTCAGCATTGCTACAAGCTCGATCTAAACGTTTAAAGACTCTATCTAAATGAAGAAATCTTGGTCCTCGCCATGTAAATTTAGAACCTATTCCTTCAAGATCAATCATCTTTATATCAGTTAGAAGAGAAGCAAATTTATTACATCTGCTAGTATCAACTGGAGCACCACCACGTTTCTCACTTGGAAAGGCAATTTCATTAAAATCACCTGCAATTAACCAAGGAACCGAGATATCTTCTGATAACTGAAGTAAATCATCCCAAAGTCTCTTCCGAATTTCTTCTCTAGGACTTGCATAGATAACAGTATAAAGAAAAGCTTGATGATCTGCCAATGTAACACGAACATGAATAAATTGATGGGTCTGTTTTAATGCTTGAACCTGACACCTATCATCATTCCATAGTAACCAAAGACCTCCCGTAAATCCATGAGCATCCTCCACTATTGAATTATTAAAACCCAGCTTTTTTATTATCTGTTTTGCTTTTGAACCACTTACTCGAGGTTCAAGAATAGCTGCCACCTCAATCTTATGCCTTCGAACCATCATTTGAAACGTTGATTTGAAGCACTTTTTAGCCGCCCCGCGGCAATTCCATGTAACTAAAGACATTAATCAATGGTAATTTGGCAGGATTGTGGGTCCACTGCCATCCCATTGTCATTGCACTGAGTTTCAGATTCTGAAATCATCTCCACCTCAATATTGAGCTTATGGTTTATTGGGATATGCTTTCCTTTATCTCTACTTGGATCAGGCGCTTTTGGTTGGGACAAGCCATGATCTAAGTCGTTGATATTTTGACCATCCTTATCCACCTCCATTTGATAACAATCTTTGTTATAATCAGCAACAGTACTCCTAGCCACCATGGAATCTCCACCGCTTTTACCTCCAATGTCCTTACTATTATGAATCGCAACTTGCCTCCTCAAGTTCGTTGTATTATTGTTTGAGGTACCTCTGTCAACTATCTTCCCATTTATTTGATTTTCTTTTTCATGACCTGTCGTAATCCCACTTAACGTAAATCGGTTGGGGTGTTCCTGTAATTCAACATTAGGACGGCTTCTAGGGTTTCTGTGTTTGGACCCTTGAGATGTACTAATATCAATATTAACAGGAGGGCCCACCATATTGACGTCATTTATAACAGCATCCGAATTAGTCGCTGGGATATCATGAGTAATATCATCTTCATTAGAGCCCATTAAAGCAGCGTAACGGGAATTTGATTGATTATCAATCATAACCGGCTGATTTGATTGCGGTTGATTACTCCCTTGATTACTCCCTTGATTACGCCTTGATTCCCTTCGAACCGGTTCCTGCTTCCTGTTGTCCGCCATTGGAGTTTGAATTTTTGATCGACGTTGACGTTGCACCACCATCCAAGGACCTAATCCATTTTTCTGAAACTCAGCCTCATCTTTTTTCCCGTCTTGATTTTGCTGATTATCCTTTCCTTCAACTGGTATCTCAGGACAACAATCTTTACTATGTCCATAGCGCCCACAATGGAAACAAATAAGGCCTAAACCTTCATATTTTATCTGTTTAGTTGCTCCGTCCAACACATATTCACCCTTCAAAGGCTGAGCAAGATCCAGTTCCACGCAAATTCGAGCAAACTGTCCTCTTACATGCTCATTAGTTGTCTTATCGATCTTCAACATTTTACCTAGCCAGTTACCAATACGGCGGAAAAAGGCTTCATCATAATACTCCAGTGGGATACCCGGTAATCGCACCCAAGCTGCAATCTTCATCACACTTGCAGCATTTGGTCTAAAAGCTGGCTCCCAACGTCGGAGTGATAAATAATGGCCTAAAATAATCCAAGGACCACCATTTAGAGCAAAAAGAAGATCATCTTTGTTGCTAAATTGCACCACATAGAATCCATTACCTACATCTGTAACGTTAATCTTTCCAGCTCTAGCCCATAGTATTTCAATCTTCTTTTTCATGAAAGCCACTCCTGTATTCCTTCCAAGTAGTTTTACAATGAGAGCTTTTTCCCAAACCTTCAGCATTCTTGTTCTTGCTTTTCTAGTACAACCAAAATGAGTTCTACCATCTTCCTCTGTCCACATTTTAATCCCACCATAATTCACATCCTCTTCCTCCGCAGGTGCACTTTGATCAACATTTTTTTCCAAATTCCAATCCATTCCTTCCCAGTCATCTGTTTCACCATTGTGTTGCATGAGCATCTCTCGCCAAGTCATCTTTTTATTACCGTCGTCAACCATCCAAGATTCATGTCTAGGAACCCTAGACTGTGATTCAGTAAACACCATATCTCCATCTTTATTTCTCTTATTACTCCTACGTAGTAGATCTTCTTCTTCTTTTGAAGTTTGGCCTTCAGTAGCTATATTTTCCTCCATGAAAAGGAAAACCCTAGCAGAGCGTTTTTTGAAAAGGAAAATACTATCAGAAAATTTTTATTAGCTACTTTATTAGTTAGTGCAAATTATTCATAATCTTTTAAATAACTAGTGCAATTTAATGGTTCTCACTCTTCTGATGGGTGCATTTCTTTACACAAGACATGATATGTCGAGTTCCTTTATGGGAGATGGGATTGATGAATCATATAAGTCACTTGGCTTATTATTGCCTTATTGGCTCCTTTGAATCCAATTATTCAAAAAAAAGAAGGTGATCCATTGAATATGAACTTTGTTAGAAATAGGGTCATTCCTTTTTATTAAGGTGAATTTACTAAGAAATATATTTTCTATATTCAAATCTCATATGACTTTTCTTGAAGTTTATTTCAAATATCTTAGGTGGTTACTATAGGTTTGGAAAATAATGATAAAATAAGTAATTTGTCATCATTAATGTAAAGTTCATAATCTATGAGACTCTTTGATTGATAAAGAAAAGCACACATTAATGTTCCTATGTCTATGTCATATGTGTCGTTCGTGCTACTATTCCTATCGTCAGTGAATGCATGATCATATCCATGCTATGTTGTAGAATGCTGCGAAATTCGTATATTAATGTGCCTAGATACAACTTATGCTATACTTGGTAGATTAATGATGCTTCTATTATTTATCACTTCAACAAATTAAGGTGATTTCTATGTAAACTAGGATTCAAGTTTAGGAAGGTGCTATTTTGCTCAGCAGGTGGTGGGTTGCTCTGATACCAATTGTAGGAAATCTTAGATTTATGCGGAAGCGGTTTAGGACCTAGTACATTGGTATGCTTACCGAATCATCCTTGTTTCACAATTACCTCTCGGTGCGCAGGTCTCGTGTAGAATCTTCCCTTGTAGGATTCCTCTTCACGAACAGCTCACCTCAGTGCCGCAGCACGAACAACCTCCTTGAAGCTGGACTGTGGCAGATCTTCCAGACTATCTCTCGAGGAGGATGAGATGGTTGTGTGGGCAACCATTCAGATGATGAACGTCTGCCTCTTGGGGTTTGTTTCTGATGATCTGTTCACCTTGGAGGCACAAGAGGAGAAAACTATGAATATATACGCTTAGGTCTTAGACATAACTCAACCCTAAGCTTCATGGGCTCAAGTTTCACTGAAGCCCAATAGGACTTTAGTGACCAAAAGAGCATATATCCAACAATCTCTCACTTGCTCTTTAAGATACAAACTTGAGTTCGTAAACCCAAGACCATGTAGCCCATAAGCTATCATCATCTGATAATATACCCCATCCCTTGTCTCGAGCTAGCCTGGGGACCTACCATTTGTCATTGATCAAGGCTCCTGATAATCTTTACAAGATTATCTAATTCGGCGCTACTCCACTAAAAGCCCGAACGTGAACTCCAAGATTAATGACCTTTATAACATTAATATGCATTGCCCCTTTATAGAATGTCTATAATTCATTGATTAGTTTTCTGTAACCCAATCAATTATTTATTCCCTTGACTTTGATAATTTCTCTAATGGATTACATGCACTGGCCAGTGTCTTTAATATCCAAGTACCGAAATATATCAAGGGGACATTTCCTATAAATTCCTTGTTGTTTATCTCATAAATACTGATAATCAAATAATCTCACTCCCAAAACACCGAGTTATTGGCCGTCAAAAGATCGGACCTCACCCGTTGGTAAATCAAAGAATGAAGACTATTTAATTATTTATTTAAAATAAACACAGGATTAAGGGCAACTACATAACTATAGTTATCTGGAAATTTGATTCCTTATGACAGAAAGAACAACCTTAATCAAATTTCTCCTTGATCCTTTCAATATGAATGTTAATTCACATCAATATTTTACAATGCTTCGGACAAAATCATTTCATAAAATATTGCAGCCTGAATAAAGTGCCCAACTTTATTTAACGGCTGTGACTCCATTCATCAATTGTGAGAACCTATGATCATGTCCTCCATGAACGTATCCATATGATCATATACTCCACAATTTGATCCGGACCTTTATGTTTGTAAATAGTGCGCAAAATAAATAAATAAAACCTTATTTATGAAATTCAGAAAATTATTTTATTGTTTCATCGTCTTACTCCAAGAGCGCAATGAAACCAATAACTCCCACTTGCTTAATGCAAGTCTGGGATCCTCCTAAGACCCAAAGAAGTAACATGCCTCTCGAACACAAATTCAGGCAAACTCTTAGTAACTGGGTCTGCAAGATCCACCTCTAATGCTATCTGAGTTTAGTGAAAAACTCATAGCTCGAGGTTGATTTTCTTGAGTTAATATCCACTTGAAATAACTGAATTTTTGAAAACTCAGCTTTTCAAGACTCCCACTAGAATATACCAGCATATAATCTCTCGTTCTCCAAAGATACTTGAGTACATGCTTAACAATAATCTAGTATTCCTCTAGGTTCAAAATGGTACTATCTCACTACTCCCACTACGTGACAGATGTCTGGTTTAACGCCCAACATGATATGCGTGAGTCTACCTTTGCCAAAGCATAAGATATCTTGCTCATGCATTCTTCCTTCTTAGAAGTCTTTGGTCACTCCTTAGGAAGATGAATTCCACATCTGAGAATTATAATTCTTCTCTTAGAATTCTCATGTTGAATTTTGGGTTTTGTCAATGTAAGTAGCCTGAGGTGATGCCAACAACTTATTCTTCCGGTCTCATAAGAGTTTTATACCAAGAATATAATTGGCTTCCCCAGTACTTCCATACCAAAACACTAACTTAGCCAACTCTTTATGCTTGATATTACCTCCACATTGTTTCTAATAAGGAGCATATCATCTACATAAAGTACCAGAAAAACTATTGTCTTCCGTTGTATCCTTTACATACAAATACACATCATTCATCAAGGTTCTCTCAAAATCAAAATTTTGATAACCTGATCAAAACTGATGTTTCAAGACCTGGATGCTTGCTTAAGTCTATGAAATAGACTTTCACAACTTGCATATCGTGTGTTCCTACTCATTTGCTATAAACCCTTTTGGTTGTTGTATGTAGATATCCTGACATCCAACTCCCAAAATGAAATCTCATAATTGAGACTTATAGCAACTAAGAGAATCTGGATAGACTCAAGCA